ATATATATAAGGCTGATGTGCTGGTATAATGTAGTGTCTTTGTTCTCTCCAGGGACCGTGGAATGAGCTACATCGTAGGAAAGAACTGGAGGGACCTGTTTGATGCTGTCATTGTCCAAGCTGACAAACCTAGTTTCTTCAATGACAGGAGGAAGTAAGTATGCTTTAATATGAAATCTGTAATGTATTCTAGTTCAGTCCTGTGCATCACTGCACTGCCTGGAGCTACTTGTAGGCTTGTGTAATAAAGGACAAACCTGTAACTGGATGTATTTTGAAGCTGCTGATTACTGTTCACCGCAAAAGGAAAAGGTGAATTTATAATGATTTTGTTCATGGGTGTGTTTGTTCATTTGCCTGTATCATTAGCAGAAAATCTCACAACTCACTGAACAGATTCAAAGTAAATTTTGAGAATGTAATCACTGGGATGACCTCGATAACTGATTAACTTTTGGAGTCAACCTAATTCAATATGGCTGCCAAAGCGATGCAGTCTTGGCAAAGAGAAAAAGGGCTACAACTTGTTCAATCTTACAGATACTGAGCTAAAAACATTGGTGTGGCAGTAGCTGAGACTGTTCCCTAACTTATACTCCGAACTCTTAACTGAATACATTTTCAACATAAGGTGGTTTTAGTTTAAAACTCTGGCTTGAAAGATGGCAGGGGGTATGCATTCCTTCAGAGAGTATGGAAGATTGACCCCCCAGGCTACACGTGTTTCGTGGATCTGGAGAAGGCTTACAAGCATGTTCTTTGATGCATTCAGTGGTGGGTGCTGTGTAAGCATAGGGTGCCGCCGTTGCTACATAACCAAAGCAAGAACGGTGTCCTCATCCTCAGCACTAAGCCCACCTGGTTTAGTCCCTCAGGTTTCTTCAGAAGGTCAAGTCCTAACCTGTTGCAACTCACAACCAGAACTGTAGTGGCTAAGACGAATCAGCTCCACAAAACGGTGGAATGTCCCCTCCTAGTCGGGGGTGAGTCTTTAACTCGAGTGGTGGGGTGGGGGTGGGGGTGGGGGGGATAGTTGTTAGTTTTGTTCACAAGCAATGATAGGATGCAAAAAGTGATGAATCAGGGCCTTGTTTTCAGTGCTGGAGGGATTGTTCTAGTTTGTCGTGATGAAGAATGAGCTGAGCCTAAAGGCAAAGCTCCCGATTCACTGCATCTTCTACATACCAACCCTTACATACCAACCCTTACAAATACTCTTAAATAATGATCATGACCAAAAGAGCAATATTCTGGAACAAGCGGCTGAAATGAGCTTCCTCCATAGGGTGGCTGGGTTCAGCCTTATAGAGAAAAGATGAGGAGCTTCATCATCCAGGGGGAGCTCAGAGTAGAGCTGCTGCTCCTACACACTGAAAGGAGTCAGTTAATGTGGTGCAGGCATCTGCTTAGCCTCTTGGGAGGAATTCCAGGCACTTCCTGGGAACACTGGGGAATCCCCCAGGAGCGTTGCTGGAGAGAGGGAAGTTTGTTTTTCTTTCCTGTGCTTGTTGCCTCTGCCAGCAACAGAAGATAGATGGATGGATGATTATTATAGGATGCTAAAGCTAGCTGTATTTGTGACAGACCTTTCAGGCGAGTGACAGACAAAGGTGCTTTACTGTGGGACAGAATTCACCGGCTGGAAAAAGGGCAAATCTACAAGCAGGTACTGTGTCAGGAAATTAATGTTCCTTATAAATTTGCTGTGGATACATCTCTTGAAGCTTCCTGTGTTTTAATGAATTTGTTTCATCCACAGGGAAACCTCTATGAGTTCCTGAGGCTCACTGGCTGGAGGGGATCCAAAGTACTTTACTTTGGAGATCACATTTATAGCGACTTGGCAGTAAGCAACATCCACACACAGTTACAACGATGGAATTATGACTAATAACTACTCAAATTACTGTTCTTTAGAGTATAAGCATAAAAAAGGCATTTCGCTTTAACAAAACAAAAGAAAACAAACAGATGTCACTTAACTCAGTGGTTCCCAACTTTTTTTGCTGGCCCCCCCTTTGGTTAATAAGAAAATTCCAACCCCTCGCCAAAAAAAAGCTTCTCTGTGCAAAATGGGTTTACAAACATGAATGACTCCTTGATAGGAAAAACAAAATTAAAGGTTTTATGAGGAAAAATGACACTTTTAATGCTCACTTCTTTCCAGTGACTGGTGTGAGCCTGCTCGTTGCTGCAGATCTTCTCAAACCTTGGTTGTAGTTGTGATACTGCCATTGAGTTCATTTTCAATGTCCAGCTTTGACCTGTATTTTGTCTTGATTGAGGCCACAGCAAAAAACCTATCTCACATAAGTACGGTGTGGCAAAAGGAAGAAGTATAACCAGGGCTGTCTGACCCAGCAGTGGGTGATCTTTCCTCACTCCAATCCAAAATGCTGTTTCCACTGTGTTCTGCAACTTGTCTTGAGTTAAAGATCTCAAGTGTCCACATTTCTTTCACTCGCTGCTGCCACATCTCAAGTTTTCTGACTTTATCTGCCAGATGTGGGAGGTGTGTGTTTGTGCCCTGCATCTGCAAGTTCACTTCAATGAGCTGAGAAACAGGTCACTGAGGTATGCAAGTTTGATGAGGAACTTGTTACAGCAACATTGGCAGGCCAGATCACTGCACTCTTCCTCCAAAAAGATGCAGATCTCATTTTGCAGCTCAAAGACCCTGGACAGCACCTTCCCACATGACAGCCATTGGGACTCGCTGTGAAACAGAACAGCTGTGTGATCGGAGCCCAGTTCCTTGCACAGTACTGAAAAAATCCAGACTTTGACAGGTTGTGCTTTGATGTAGTTTACTTTGGCAATGACATAATTATTACATCATTTAATTTTGGACTCAGCTGTTTAGATTCCGGTGCTTCGCAGTGTGTCATGCAGTGCGTCCACTGTACGTTGGGGGAAACGCTCTTGATGAGCGCATGAGCCCTCCTCGTCTCCCAGCCATAGTCTGTGCAGATCCCCACACAGTCCTCCCATTTCAGATTGGCCACTTTCAAGTAAGAGTCGATGATTTTAAACAGTTCTTCTGTAGCGGCTCTGCCAGGGACTTGTTTGCAGAAAAGCAATTCCTCATTTCATCTCCATCTATGAAGCTGACAAGTTATCAGTAAGCAGTCTTTGTTACTGTCAGTGGCTTCATCCATCTGCAGAGAAAAGTGGTGGCTGTCACACACCTTCTCATTCAGCTGCTCCTCTATGGCCTTTAACATGTCATACATGTGCCTGCTGATGGTATTATTGGACAGAGGAATAGCCTGTAGTTTGCAGACTGCTCTGTCATCAATCATTATTGAAACCATATTTATAGCATAGAGAAGTATTAATTCCTCTGCAATTGTATGCAATGTCTTACTCTGTGCCTCTTGGTAGACAACTTTATATAAGCAGAGGTGAGCGTTTGTCGGCACGGATGTAGCTTTAGTAAAGAGACCCCGTTGAGCACGGCAGTTTGAGTTTTTGTCTGAAAATGGGAACTAACTTGACTTTGTGCTCTGGATATTATTTCTCCATGTGGCATCTTAGCTTGTTGTTCTTCAAAACTGTCACAAGCTAGCACTTTAAGACAGATGAAACAATGCAGTCTTTGGATTACCTACTGTTGGGCAGTAGGCTTCATCATATCTTCTACAGTTTGATTTGGAAGGAAGTTGGTTTAGAAGCGTGTTTGGTGACGTTTCATCTTCTGCTTTGGGTTTATGTGGAAGCCCCATAAAAAACTTGTCCATTATGCTAGCAGTGTCCAAACATGCGTTATTTCCATTCAGTCATACCACGCGCCCCCTGCAGTGGCTCTATGCCCCCTCCCCCCACTTTTGTAACCACTGACTTACTTCAAAGAAAGGATCCTGACTCAGGAGCCTAAGACCCATGTTTACTATTCAGAGAAATTTGGCTTGTATTTGTAATTCAGACACTGCACCTGTGGGACAGATCAGTTCTGCAGATGAAGTTCTAAAAATATTCACTACTTTACAAACGCAAGCTCAACCAGCTCATTTTAATTAGATCCACTTTTTTTTTTTTACTTCCGATCCCAATACCTAAATCTGGAAATCTGTCAATACTGATAGTATTCCGATACCATTCCGAAATCATCGTTATTGATTTTATATGCGGCTGTAATAAACTCCTCTCTACAGGCAAGTACGATTTGTACAAATATATGTATGCATGTCCAAAAAGGAAACTTGAGGTAATTATATGGTTAGGTTAGGAGGGTAAACTATATCTTGGCTGTAAATATTCAGTCAAGCTGCAAAATCCTTCATTTTCTACAACTTGTAGCAGTTAGTCATCAAGTACGATGAAGTTCAGCAACTTCTCAGTAATCCCTTTAGCTTTCATGTTGTCCAGTGGAAGTTCACTTTACTTTTGGAACGACTCCAGAAGTGATTTCTGCCGGCTCCTTTCGTCTTTCTCCCGCTTGGCTAAACAACCCTCGTGCTCTTTAATGTGGTGCTTTTTCAAATGTTTGATTAAGTTCATTGTATTGTAGGTTGTGATGGATCTTCCCCCTTTCAATACTGCAGCTTAGCAGACATTGCACATTGCTGTTTTGATTTGTGGTGTTTCTAGTGTAAAATGCTTCCACACAGCAGATGTGTTACGATGAAAAGTTGGTTAGCCGTTAGCCACAGCACTGCTCAGTCCTCTGTCCTCACGTTGTAGCTGGCTGCAAACTATGAAATGGATTTCCTGAATGTGAGGCGGGTCTTATTACTCTGGGTTCATGAGACACACCTCCGTTCTGGAAATCCATTCCATAGTTTGAAGCCAACATGCAGAGCAGCTGGCAAGGAATCGTGGAGGTGTTTCAGCAGACACAGACATGCATCATGAATGGGAAATCTCTGCAGGTTGGATCACAAAATTCAGATACGCAAATTATGCTGGTATCGGACGCCGATACGGATACTGGATTGGCTCCATCCCTAATTTAAATGAAGACTAAAGCAGGGTCACAAGCCAGCAATTTATCTGTTGATAATCAGGGGTCAGTAATGTAACAACAGCACCTACAGCTTGTTTGTTGTTGCCACATGCAGACAGTAGAAGCAGGAGCCTGATCACCTGTTCAAGCATTCAGTTCACTCCTTGAGTCAGGTGATGTTAAAGTTGTGTAAGACTTCACTTCTTGGTTTAAATGTGTTCAGATATGTTGTTTTTATGGCTCAGAATTACTTATTCACAAACGTGTGAAAGAGTCGTAAGCTTATCATGTAGCCCTGAAACACAATTGAGGGAAACATATTGCGGATACCTAGGTGCCAAACATCACTGCAGTCTGCCCCTGGGATTTTTCTTAACAGCATTTTTTTCCAGGGGGCATTTGAATAAAAAACACTGCAATGCATCAGTGCGTCCTCACCGTTCAATAATGCTATATTTACTCTGCACTCCGTAACAATGTTTCTGAAAACATCCAAGAAACCGATTGCAGCGCCTATATCAAAAGAAGAAAGAAGCAGATGATACAAGATACAAAAACATGCAACGTGTTGTGTAACAGCAGGGGTTTTATAACTGTTTCAGGTGGAGCTTTCAGGTAGTCTTAGTTTTAGGAACAATGTAGCCAGGCAGTAAGTCTGCTAGCATTTCCTTAGTATTTCAATACATTTACACAGATGAAGAATCTCATTTTATCCACACACTTTCTCCTCCTGTCTGAAGTATGTGTGTCCTCTGCACATCAACTCTCAGCCCTGTCGTGCAAAAGAAAAGAAAACCTTTTCTCCCACTAAAGTAAATAATGGCACAACTGGGAGTGAAAAGTGTTGCACAAATCTTCGCAAATAGGTGCACAATTCATTTAAAGACCTTCCCGCACCACTTTAGTTCTTTCAGATAAAAATATGTTCCTGCAGAACCAGCTGCAGAGATCACCCCATTCTCACCTCTTTGGTGCAGATTTTGCTTGGTTAGTTTTTCAATTTGCACCAAACTAACTTCATGACAGACACTAAAACGTTGTAAATTTATCTCCAAGTCTTCCTGTTTTCAGAATATTTGGGTGAGACACAGTGAAATACACTTGAATGCTTAAACTACATTAACGTCTACTAAGATAAATTTACATACATGATACATCATAGCCCATTACACTAGTGCAGCTGAGGTTTTAGAAGAAAAAATAATCAATATTCTTGTAAAGTACATCTTACCTGCTGCTCCACACCTTCATTAATTAGCATCGAAGCACATCATTTACATTTTGATCTGTACAAGCAGCTTGTTTTTCATTTCTACCTATCTATTTTTTTTTTGCATCAGAGCGTTTAAGTGTTTGTGCTTCTGTATGGATATGCACGATCAGCTGTAAAGACCGATGCTGAAAGATCAAATTAGCATCTCTGGCATGATGCCTGGTCAGTGGCCAGCAGCCACCAGTCAATGATGTTGTCTCGCTTGTTTAGAGAGATGGAATTTGGCGTTTGTGGTTTCCACCAACCACAGCTCACCGTCAGACTCTGTGGCTGTAAAATTAGATTACCGCTGTGAGTGGGCACAGAGGAGAAGCATCTGTGAGCTAGCAAAGAGTTAATTAAATCGCAAAAAGTCCCAAAATACATTCTCTGAACCCTGGATGGGTTTCAGATCAGTTGTTTTAGCTTTTATTGTCTTTTAGTCTGATTGAAGTTATTTGACTGCTGGAATCTGACAATAAATAAAAATCCAAAAAGTGATACATAAAACAATTATTAATGGTTATTATGGTTACAATTCTGATAATGCATAATGTATTTAAATTAAACAAACAAACAAAAAAAACTGTGTACCATTTCTCATGAAAAACAACTTGAAATCACAACAGCATTTTATAAAACACAAATT